AGTCTGCTGCTGCTGTTCACAATGAAGGCCGCTCCTTGTAAGTCTCTCAAGACCCACAGAGTAAAGCGCTTACTACTCTCAGCCCCTGGGGAGTCTCGAGACTCGGATTGAATTCAATCCTTGAAATGCTTCCTACCCTCGACATATTGATTATCAACCTTATGTTGATCACCAGAAGAGCTAGCTGCGATAAATCCGACAGGGTGAGGTCGAGATTTTACATCAATCTTGTTTACTAAGGCTTGTAAGGGCATGGCAACTGTCCCTTCAGATGAGTGCCTACTATCCCACGACGCATGTATCCTGAGCGGAATTCTTTTTTGTGGCCAGTTATCGCGACATAGAGGGACGCATCTTGGGGTTTAGGGGGGGGGATATCCGCTGGTGCGATGTTTCTCCTCATGAAGAGTTCACGTTGACTTCCCGAGATGAACGGTAATCTAGATCGATAAAGTAGAAAATCTCGCGTGCCGTGATTTCGATCCAAACCATCAACACCTGCGCCGCTGAGTCCGCCCTTTACTGATGAGTCTTCCGATTCATTGTTCTCAAGAGTATGTTGCAAAGGCGTAGGTTGCGTTTGCAATAGTGGAAAGGGAGAAAGAATCCTCTCGGTCATTGGAGGGAAGATGTCGACAGACTAAAGATTGTCGTTTTAGGAAACGAATATTGAAGCTCAGATATGGTCTCAATAGTAGGGAGAGGACATATGTAAGATTTGGAGTGGCTTGTAAGCTTTTTTGGCTCTTCGGGTCTGGGGGATTTGTCTTCCACTTCCAAGGCGCTATAGCCAAGTGGTTACGGCGACAGATTAGAATCGATATCGTGGGGAAGCTTTCAATCTGTTCCTCTTTGAGGGCGCAGGTTCAAATCCTGCTGGCGTCGGTGAAAGGGAATTCAAGCTTTTTGTTTTTCCCCTTCAGCGTTAGACTTATGGCTGTGAGCGGTACCTAAGGAGGGTTCATGAATCTATATACTTTCTTTCTATGAATTTCCCCTCAGCTCAGATGTGGATTTGAGGCTTTACGACATTCACTCAGATTCTTCGGCGCTCGTTGAATGTAGAGAGTACAAGAATGCCTACGCGGGACTTCTGATTTTCATCCTCGCTGCACAGCCTCGTAACAGAACTGAAAGACTTGTATCCCAACGCCGGTGAGAAATAAGTGAAGGAGGTTAATTCCAAGTAGAAATGAGTCGAACAGAGGGCGTTCAAAGTCATATAAGTAGAATTCAACGGAGTGTGTACCATGAACGATGTTTCTATGTATCGCGATGTTAGGACGCTTGACTTGATTGATCAGCAAGAACTCACTTACTTTTGCGATTTAGCGCTTAGCGCTCGACTATGCTCACCACCGGCGTCTGGCTTCCTAGACATTCACACCCGCCTTAGCGGCCCGAGCAGATGAAGGTGAGAGCCTGTCAATATCTGTATTCGGATGCCTAACCTGTGCCTCGAGGTCGTCTTGTGCATTTGAACGGAGGATGTTTCGAGGTTTACGTTTCACTAACGCGCGCAAAATCACTCGAATGAACGATCTGAGGAGAGCCCATGGCCAGTAGAATGGCATGAGGAAACATCTACTCTCGTAATTGGTAGCAGCACGTGCGGGTCTGGGTGTTGGGCGGGAGTGTTGGGCCTGCGGTTTAAGTAACGGGGGTGAGTCCTGGGGGCGGGGATTGGGAGTACTGGCGTAGAAAGTACATCCGTGGTAGGTATTCGAATAAGACTCGTAGACATGTTGGCATTGGTAGTTGTGGATATAGGTGGAAGAGAAGAAGGGCTGGGTGTTTCCGTTAAATGTATTTGATCTCGGCACATAATAGTCGACGTTCATGCCTACAGCGTCCCCAGAGCAGCTGTGGTCATCGCTCTGAGCTGGAGCAATGAGTTTTACAGACGACATCAAGGCGGCGTGTTCGCGAGGGGGGAGAAGGGGTTTGGTGAGACCTGTTTAGGTTCATATAACGTACGCAACCACATCAGAGTCAGCTGATCACACCACTGTGCCATGACTTCAGACTATAATAATACTAATAGAACTCTAGAAGTCCGCCTCGTGGTTGGTTCGTGTTTTGATGAAGTTCCGTTCCCGGGTATCGGGTCGAGATCAAGTGGAGATGCGTCAGTCGAGCGCTCATAGGTGTCTTCCACCAGTTAGGTTTGGGGTTTTGTTTCAATGGCTGGTGTAAGAGAGTATTTCTTTTGTATCTAGCCACACGGGAAGTCAGGCCTAGGCAGGCCTCGGGAGGTGAAAGTGACTTACCTTTCCCTCCCGAACCCGGAATGCGGCTCGTTTGGATTGTGGGCGCCAAGATTGAGATTGAGACTTTTTCTTAGAGCGGCACGGGGCGATGACGCAGTTTCTTCGTAACCACCACCGCGACACCACGCCGACCTTTCCTCCCCTCCTTCACCTAGGCTGCCATTTCCGTTACCTTTTGACATCGACCACGAATAAGGGGGAGAGGGATGCTGAATATAGAAGAGGACTGAGAGGTGTGTCGTGTCAAGTTCCCTCGTGCTTTCTTTTCATTCGCTTTGGATCTCTGTCGGTTCCCAGGTCTCGTTTCCCTTCTGCCACAGCTCATGTTCAACCTTTGACCCCCGTATGCTATGTGGTTCTAGCCTGCTCACCGTCTCGATATCGTTCGAGTCTCCTGCTACCTTCAGCTTGACTCACGATTCTACTGTACAGGATCCCAAGCAAAACAGGGTTGGTCGGAACGTATAGCGCCAGTTTTACGGTGAGTGAACATTCTAAACTATACGAGGCAACGAAACCAAAATAATTTTACTTGCATACGAAGGGTGTGTGCTTTCTGAAACTACTGAGCGCTAACCACTAGACAGCTTCATCCGCCTGTCCGCGAGGGGTCAAACTCGGGGTAAATGAAGGTGGGGACCTATCATTCGTATTCAGGTTGTCCTCGAGATCTCGGGCATGTCGGGGGAGGGTATCACGAGCATGATGCTCTAGGCTGGGTATCGCTGCCGCACGAAGAACAACCCGAATAAACGAGTTGAGTAGAGTCCACGGCCAGTAAAATGACATCAGGAGGGAGCGTGACTGGGACATTCTGAACACTTCAGTCAGGTCATCTGACATCAACGCGCCATGATAATGAGGGACTGACCTCGAGGAGGTAAGGAGCATTTTCAGACTGTGCCTGGTTTGCAGTGATATGATCAGCAGCCCTCGCTGCTTCCCCAGCCGTGCGGGGTATTCCATTGTAAAAATGGCATCCAGCGTAATGATTTTGAACATCCTGACATTGGTTGTCCTGAATATGAATAGAGGGCGAGAAGGAGCTTGTATCGCCGTTGAGTGTGTTGGCGAAGGGGTTCGTGTTGCTGTTTGTATATGCGCCACCATGAATACGACCGGGAGTTCCTCCAGGAGTTTTGTAGTTATCACTCTGTGTAGGGGCAGCAGGCCTTCTTAAAGACATGAGGGCTTTACACTTCCTGGGGAGAGGATGGGGTACAACGCCGATTGGATATAAGACTGTATATCCAATCGGCGTTGTACCCCATCCTCTCTCATCAAAGTCATCAAAGTGTGAAAGGTGCCAAGAAAGCGTGTACCAGATCAACACACACTGTGTTTTAGGTGTGATACCGAAGATCAACTCGACAGATCTTACCGTTAGTGCTATTTGCACCAACTGAATAATGCTCCTTATGACCCGGGCGCTCGGCCTCGATCGCAGATGACTTATTTCTCATGTTTTCTCTTTGCTTTTTTCTATCCGTTAATGGTGAATCTGAGAGAGGATATCGAATGAAGGGGCGAAGGGCAGTAAAATCGCTGCTATGAGGGGCGTTGAACGAACCCTCCCTCTCGTATTGCTCTCTGGACATTGGGTGTCGGCCTGGAATTTGGACCCCTTGATCCGAGTTGCCTTGACATGCCCCGCGGCAACACTGGAATTTTGGTCCAGCCAAACACGTGTCCCATCCGTTTCCTCAATGTCTGGGTTTTAGGTTATGGTGGGGATGCTGAAAAAAGTTACATTTCAAAAAACAGAAAAACTACGACTAGGTAAATACACTTGACATATACGTTCACTATTAGGCGTGCTAAGTATTAGTGAAGACGTGAGTACAATCGATCTCAGTTAACTTACCCACTGACGCTCAGGTTGATCCGCCGGGGAGGCCGGAGCCCAAATAGGGATAGACGGAGGTACCGTATTTGGATGATCCTCGAGGTCACGGGCGTGTCGGGGAAGGATACTGCGAGGAGTCTGCTCTACGTCGGTTATCACTGTCGCACGGAGAATTATTCGAATGAAAGAGGTGAGAAGGATCCATGGCCAGTAAAGTGGTATGAGGAGAGAGCGTGGCTATGGGGAAAATATCAATCTCGCAATTCACGGAGAGGCGTTATGGAAATGACCTCGATGGTGTGAGCGGGATGTACAGGGGTCTTGTAGAACGAGTCCGCCGGGCTGGTTTGAGCGATGGGATGAATAGCTCTCGAATTTTGAGCTGCGGGGGCGTGATCTGCGCCATAGAAATTGCAATTGGTGTAGTGATTTTGGGGGTTTTGACATTGGTAGTTTTGAATATAAGTATTGGCGGCGAGGGAACTGGTGTCGCCGTTGAGTGTATTGGAGAGGGGATTGGCGTTCCTGTTTGTATATGCGCCATCACGGATACGATCGCTGGTGTCTCCAGAAGCTGGACTGGGGGCATTGTTGTGAATGGGATTAGTGAACCTTGCTGAATTCATATGGGTTGAGGGTGAAAAGACAGAAGGAAAGAGTGAGGTGAAGGCAAGAAAGAATAAGTAGGTTGGCGGAAGCATTTGACAACACCCCTTGCCGTTACCATTTTCTCCAACTGCTTCATTTTGGGGCGGTTATATTTGAGGCAGTGTTGCTCGAAAAATCCGTCATTTTCTTACCGCTGATCTGGTGTGAAAAATTGACTTGCGTCGGATTGCTCTCACTGGAGTGTGTAAACATCAACACCTAAATCTCGAGAAATAAGGCCCACGATGACTAGAAATGGTTTGTCTTGCCCTGGGAACCGTGTGTACGTTGACACGCGAGTCTGGTCCTCGGGTGATGCTGCCTGATACCGATATTTCCATATCGAAACTCACCACTGCCTCATATAACCGCACCCAAATGGGGCAAGGAGATCAATTTCGTAGAAGCAAGGGGTTCCCTTTTGCGGTCTGGCGGAGCATCACTGCAAAGACGAAAAGTCCCACAGTATGGTTAAAACTTGACGGGTTGATGGGGACGCGACGCGACGATGCTCTTGAATCTTGACCACCGCCGCGACTCATGACGACAAGCTTCGTGTTTTCCTCCTAGGGTTGTGTGATAACTACCTACTACGACTGAGATAACCATCGCCGTAATCTTACGACACATACCACCGCTTACGCCCTACAAGATGCCACATAAACAAGAAAATGGGTTGGGGAAAAGGATGGGGCTGAGAGGTGTGTTTGGGAAAATATTACTGGGAGAATCGTTGGAGCGCTATCACATGTGCGTGGTCGTCCTTTCTATTTTGGGTTTCTGATACTGATTGCTTTGACTCATAGACGAATCGAATAGATCAAACGGTCACTCGCTCGAGATGCGGTAAAGACGAAGAAAGGGAAACCGGCTAAGACAACTAAAGATGCTGATGACTCGGAATCCCCGTCCTTACCCGACAAACACACATTGAAAGCAAAAGAATTCCAGATACCCTTAATGCCTGCACTGAAACCGATGAACGACTGTTGTCCAAGTGCCGCTTCAGACGCCGCGGTTACTATCGCTCAGTAGATGTTCGCGAATCTCAAGAAATGCTTTCGGAAGCTCGTGTCAGTAGATGTAGATATGTCCCAAGTACACGACCTAAACCGCTTTGC